CTTTATTTGCACACAAAACATGAGAAATCATGATGGTGTGTTTGTAACATTGTTATAACATGCCTTGGCTAGATGATGCACAAGTTTCCTCCTTCTCATGCAATGCACGGTAATGCCGTAACATGGACGAGGTGTTGTTATTGTACCCTAACTCCTTAGAGCACAATAAACACCTCACCTTTGAATGAAATAAGAAACTATGAAAATGAGTTCTCTATAAGCATACATAATGCATCTTTAATAATGTTACATATAACTTACCTTGTTAGGCGATACAAGATCAAAGAATTCCCACACAGGTGAAATCATCCTTTTGCGTGCCGGCTCCATTCTTTCACGTATACAAACTACTCATTCGAAAACCCACATTTTGGATTGCAGTCTGATGGGTCTATATAGTCGTAATGCCCGGCGCCACAATCTGAACCACTTCCTTAAGCAATCACGTGGTACAGCCGGACAGCGAGGCTTCGGACGTCATCATTCTGGCTCCTCCCCTAAATAAAGCAAGCCTCGATACGCGCTTCGAGGAAACGCCGCCTTCATTACTCGACACACGCTTAGAAGCCTCGGTACCTCGCGTAACATCACTACTGACAGTTTAAGGTACGGCGGATAAAATACTATCGCTAGTTCAGGGCTAGTGCGGCTGATTTTTATTTGTTTTTGTCCCTATTTGGCGGCTCTGAAAACGGCCTTGAATTTAGATATTTGCTGTCTTAATGTTAAAGTAGATTTTTAGATTTTTCCGAACGGATTTACATCTTCACCTTTTGCCTGAAAAAAGCACAGCTAACGTTAGCAAGCTAATGCTTGGCTAGCGGAGCAGCATTTGCGATTCAACGCTACAAATTTTACCCTAATTTGACAGGCTTTTTAATAACCCAACGCTGCAATGGCCGATGTTGATAAGCTCAACATAGACAACATCATCCAGCGTCTTTTAGAAGGTAAGATGTTGAGGGGTTTTATCCTGATGTGTGCTATTATCAGCTAATATAGCCTCACATAGCATTTTTCTTAAAGTTATAATCGTAAATAACAGTCGCAGTGGAAACATAACAGTTGTTCTCTGCTATGTCCTATTTTCAGTGTCTCGGTTTGAAAACGTTGAAAAACATTGCTCAAATTGCGTTCACATTCACACTAACACATTCCATCGCATCATCAAACTTAACCCTTGTGAGGTTCTTCGCATTTTTGTACACATCGTTTGTCCATGCAATGATTTTCATCTTGTCCCAGAATATGAGTATTAATGAATATGAGGAAAAGTTGGCACAAGTCATGCAGTACAGGAATATGCACACGCACACATACGCACACGTACACACACGGAAGGACCTTACAAGGGTTAAGATAAAACCAGGTAATGATAACGAGGCTTAGCAGGGAATAATTCATGCTGAGGATATGAACATATAAAACAAATTATGTAAAAAATATAATGTCAACTGTTTGGGCTGTTTACATACATACATACATTTTCTTCCGCTTATCCGGTACCTTATCACATTGCACCTTCCTGCTGGTGGTGTGTCCACTGGAAGGTACCAAACGCCCTAACCGGGATTCGAACTTGCCCAGGAGGTGAACCCTGGGGTTCCAGTATGCTAGTATGCGTTTGAAAGCATTTATATAAATAACAGTATGACATGTTTGTAATTTAATTGCAAAGTAATTTAAAATATTCGTAACATAATTGATATGGGATGTATAACACAAATTATATCTTCAAAGTCACCAATGTTATGTATTATTTAATTTAATCAGTTGTCATGACTGCATTCATTTATACCTTTAAACATCAATGTAAATGTAATTGGAATTGATCTGCAGTGTCTCTTCATCCAAGTCTGTTGCCTATTTCTATGAAGTACGTCATGAAACAGTGTACGCAGCATTTTTAGAGAATAGTGATGAATGGCTACAGGAGAAGCAGGTGTCTTTGAACTAGTGGTGAAAAAACATCTATCGTGTTCACATTATTTAAATCCACATAATCCACATATCTTCTGTAGCTGGTTGGATATGTTTTTATCACAGTGAAATATTTTGCATATCCTGCAAAATTAATAGAGCAGCCAGTTGTGTGTGCAGAGCAACTTAATGTGTCTGCTGACATTGTTTGTTTTTCTTGTTGCAGTCAGAGGAGCAAAACCTGGCAAGAATGTGCTGCTTCAAGAGAATGAGATCCGTGGATTATGCCTCAAGTCCAGAGAGATCTTTCTTAGCCAGCCCATTCTGCTGGAGCTGGAGGCCCCTCTCAAGATATGCGGTAAGTACGGTTTGTTCAGACAGCAGGCAACTTAATGTCTGTAAAGCATAAAAACATTTGATTATCTTAAATTGTACTTAAGAACCCAAGTTGCAATCACTTTCTCATTCTGATGACATGCTGTCTTTTGCAACCCTCTGTACAATGAGTAACATGTCAAAACAGATGTCAAACCAGTCCCATGTGCCATTGAGGACTGTTGAGGACAGCTCACGTTTACTGCACACTGATTCTAGCCTACAGCTGAAAACACTGGTATTAGAATTATGCCTAATGATAAAGACGGGTCCGGAAGGTTGCAGGTTCAAATCCACCAGCTTCCAAGTTACCACTGAGGTGCTCTGAGCATGGCACCGTCCCCAGACACTGCTCCCCGGGTGCTCAAAAAGCTGCCCACTGTTCACTTTGGTGATGGGTTAAATGCAGAGGTCACATTTGTGTGCAGTGGTGTGTGTCACAATGACAAGGAGTTCACTTTCCTTCCTTTCCTTTCCTGAAGCTCTCAACTCGAGTAAGTAGGAAAAAATCTTGAGTAGAGACAAATTCAAGGCTAAAGATACTATTAAAGTTACCCATGTCTCTCTGGGGGAAAACACATAGTTCTGGGTTTTGCTCTTAGTTGCTGTATAAAGTTAAGCAGCTTATATCAGGACTCTCAAATCCTATTAATTCACATGCTAACAAAAGAGCACAGTTTCGCTGGTCAGATGTTTCCTTAAACTCAGACTTTAGCATCAATAGAGGAAATAAAAAAGGATCATTTTATAGTTATTAAGGATTTCATTAAGGCTACATTAAAGCCAGCCACTAGGGTACACGAAGCCGTGTTTATAGTGCCGGTCCCAAGCCCGGATAAATGGTGAGGGTTGCGTCAGGAAGGGCATCCGGCGTAAAACGTTTAGCTAAATCAAATATGCAGATCAATAAAACGATTTCCATACCGGATCGGTCGAGGCCCGGGTTAACAACGACCGCCAACAGTGCCGTTGACCAACAGGGCACTGATGGAAATTGGACTACTGTTGGTCAGAGACAGAGTCAGAGACAGAGAAGAAGAGGAGGGCGTTTGGTTAGGAGAAAAAGAGAAAAGATGAAGAATAGAAGTGTTAGTCTGAAGTTTGGAACTTTGAATGTAGGTACAATGACAGGGAAAAGTAGAGAAATAGCTGATGTGATGGAGAGAAGAAGAGTAGATATTTTGTGTGTGCAGGAGACCAGGTGGAAGGGCAGTAAGGCTAGAAACATTGGAGGAGGCTACAAACTGTTTTATCATGGTTCAGATGGGAAGAGAAATGGAGTAGGGGTGATCCTAAAGGAAGAATATGTAAGAAATGTGGTAGAGGTGAAAAGAGAGTCAGACAGGTTGATGTGTGTGAAGGTAGAAGTAGAAGGAGAGATGATTAATGTTGTTAGTGGTTATGCCCCACAGGTGGGCTGTGAGTTGGAAGAAAAGGAGAAGTTCTGGAAGGAGCTAGATTGGATGGTAGAGAGTATCCCCAGGAGAGAGAGAGTGGTGATTGGAGCAGACCTAAATGGTCATGTAGGGGAAGGGAACAGAGGAGATGAGGAAGTGATAGGCAGGTTTGGTGTTAGGGAGAGAAACGTAGAAGGACAGGCAGTGGTAGATTTTGCAAAGAGAATGGAAATGGCTGTGGTAAACACATATTTCCAAAAGAAAGAGGAACATAGGGTGACTTACAAGAGTGGAGGCAGGTCCACACAGATAGATTATATTCTATGTAGAAGATGTAATCTGAGGGAGATTAGAGACTGTAAGGTGGTGGCAGGTGAGAGTGTAGCCAAACAACATCGGATGGTAGTGTGTAAAATGACGATGGAGGTGACAAAAAGGAAGAGAGTGAAGACAGAGCAGAAGATCAAGTGGTGGAAACTAAGGAAAGAGACATGTTGTGAAGACTTCAGGAAGGAAGTAAGGGCAGTTCTGGGTAGTGTTGAGATATTCCCAGATGATTGGGAGACTACAGCTGCAGTGATGAGGGAGACAGGTAGGAAGGTGCTAGGTATGTCCTCTGGGCAGAGAAAGGAGGACAAAGAGACCTGGTGGTGGAATGAGGAGATCCAGGAGAGTGTGCAGAGAAAGAGATTAGCGAAGAAGAGATGGGACAGTGACAGAACAGAAGAGAACAGACTGGAGTACAAAGAGAGGACAAGGGAGGTGAAGAGGGAAGTGGCCAAGGCCAAACAAAAGGCATATGAGGAGTTGTATGAGAGTTTGGAAACAAAGGAAGGAGAAAAGGAGTTGTATAGATTGGCGAGACAGAGAAATCAAGCTGGGAAGGATGTGCAGCAGGTGAGGTTGATTAAGGACAGAGAGGGGAATGTGATCACAAGTGAGGAAAGTGTGCTGAGAAGATGGAAGGAATACTTTGAGGAGTTGTTAAATGAGGAAAATGAAAGGGAAAGTAGAAACGAGGAGCCAGAGACTAGTAGGAAGAAGGTAGATCAGGTTAGAAAGGATGAAGTTAGAAAAGCCCTGAAGAGGATGAAGAGTGGAAAGTCAGTTGGTCCTGATGACATACCAGTGGAAGTATGGAAGTGTTTAGGAGAAGTGGCAGTAAATTTCCTGACTGGTTTGTTTAACAGAATTTTAGAGACTGGCAAGATGCCTGATGAGTGGAGAAAAAGTGTTCTGGTGCCAATTCATAAGAAGGGTGATGCACAGAGTTGTAACAACTACAGAGGGATAAAGTTGATGAGCCATACAATGAAGATTTGGGAACGAGTAGTTGAAGCTAGGTTGAGGCAGGAAGTGGAGATTTGTGAACAACAGTATGGTTTCATGCCTAGGAAGAGTACCACAGATGCAATATTTGCCTTGAGGATGTTGATGGAGAAGTACAGGGAAGGTCAGAAGGAGCTGCATTGTGTATTTGTAGATCTAGAAAAGGCATATGACAAAGTGCCAAGGGAGGAATTGTGGTTTTGTATGAGGAAGTCAGGAGTGGCAGAGAAGTATGTTAGTTTGGTGCAGGACATGTATGAGAATAGTACAACAGTAGTGAGGTGCGCTGTTGGGAGGACAGAAGACTTCAAAGTGGAGGTGGGACTACATCAAGGATCGGCCCTGAGCCCCTTCTTGTTTGCTGTGGTGATGGACAGATTGACAGATGAGGTCAGACAGGAGTCCCCATGGACTATGATGTTTGCAGATGACATTGTGATCTGTAGTGAGAGTAGGCAGCAGCTAGAAGAGAACCTAGAGAGGTGGAGGTTTGCACTAGAAAGAAGAGGAATGAAGGTCAGTCGCAGCAAGACAGAGTACATGTGTGTAAACGAAAGGCAGAACAGTGAAATAGTGAGGCTACAAGGAGCAGAGGTGGTGAAGGTGCAGGAGTTTAGGTACTTAGGATCAACTGTTCAGAGCAGCGGAGACTGTGGAAGAGAGGTGAAGAATAGAGTACAGGCAGGATGGAACAGCTGGAGAAAAGTGTCAGGAGTGATCGGTGGCAGAAGAGTGTCAGCTAAGGTGAAGGGAAAGGTTTACAGGACAGTGGTGAGACCAGCCATGATGTATGGTTTAGAGACAGTAGCAATAGGCAGAAGACAGGAGGAGGAGCTGGAGGTGGCAGAGTTAAAGATGCTAAGATTCTCTTTAGGAGTGACAAGAATGGACAGGGTCAGGAATGAGGTCATTAGAGGGACAACACAGACAGGAAGGTTTGGAGAAAAAGCTAGAGAAGCCAGATTGAGATGGTTTGGACATGTGCAGAGGAAGGACAGTGGACACATTGGTAGAAGAATGTTAGAGATGGAGCTACCAGGTAGGAGAAAGAGAGGAAGGCCAAAGAGGAGATATATGGATGTAGTGAGGGAGGACATGCAGATAGTTGGAGTCAGAGTAGAAGATACAGACAACAGGGAGAGATGGAAATCAATGATCTGCTGTGGCAACCCCTGAAAAAAAAAAGGGACAAAGCCGAAAGAAAAAGAAGAAGAATTAAGGCTACATTAATTTCCCTTCATTTTTTCTTTCTCGTTGTTAGGTGACATCCACGGGCAATACTATGACCTGCTGAGGCTGTTTGAATATGGAGGCTTCCCCCCAGAGAGCAATTACCTGTTCCTGGGAGACTACGTGGACAGGGGGAAACAGTCCCTGGAAACCATATGTCTTCTGCTGGCCTATAAAATCAAATACCCCGAGAACTTCTTCCTGCTCAGGGGAAACCGTGAGTGTGCTTCTATCAACAGAATATATGGTTTCTATGATGAGTGTAAGTCCTTTTCACTACCTTCCTTGACTGAAAACATACTATTTTGGTACTTTAATTTAACTTTAATTTTAATTTTATTAAGCACCTAGCAGATGCACCCTACACACACATCCATAATGAAATGTTCTTTGATTATGTTTTAGGTAAAAGAAGGTACAACATCAAACTCTGGAAGACATTCACAGATTGTTTTAACTGCCTCCCGATTGCAGCCATTGTTGATGAGAAGATCTTTTGCTGCCACGGAGGTAAGTTCTACGTTTATAATACAGTGCTGTGCAAAAGCCTTGTTGAGACAGTATTGTTGGTGATGCATTAAGAGATGATACAGCTGCAAAAAAATAATCTAGATCTTCTTGATTTACAGTTAAGAAAAGGTGTTTTGAAAATCTTACACAGATTATTAATTTACCAAAATATCAGAAAAAAGTTCAAAGGTGGCCAACAAACAAATGTAGCTGTTGCCTTTGATTCCTGTTTTTTGATTTGTTTAATTCTGTAACAATGAGCCTTCATCAGCTCGTCCTGTTTGTCCTTGATCACTGTTGTTCGTGCAGCTGTCAGCAGACGTCAGCTTCGTGCATGTGAAACCAGCGTCTGCCTCAATGTCACAGTGTTTATTTGTACTGTAACTGCTCTGTACAGGACTGTCACCTGACCTACAGTCCATGGAGCAGATCAGACGCATCATGCGTCCCACTGATGTACCCGACCAGGGTCTGCTGTGTGATTTGCTCTGGTCTGATCCAGATAAAGATGTCCTGGGCTGGGGGGAGAATGACAGGGGCGTGTCATTCACATTTGGCTCAGAGGTTGTGGCCAAGTTCCTACATAAACATGATCTGGATCTGATCTGTCGTGCTCATCAGGTAGTCACACCACACACACACACAGTGTAACTTAATATATATCAATACAGTGGCTGTGAAGATGATGCACAGCATAGAACAGGACATCACATACTGTACAATGAAATGGACACTTTAATATCTCTTTTAGGCAAAATATTATAGGGATTGGCAAGACACTTTTTGATAGCTGTCACCATGGGATATTCCCAGTGGGGGCCCTGACACAATAGTTTGTGGACCATCAGCTATCAGACCATAATGATTCAGGACTTCAGCTTGTGTCCGGACAGTGTTGTGAATGGAACATTCTTTCTTTTAAGGTCTACATATGCATCATTGGCAATAGTAATGCAAGTGAAAAAAGTAAGGCAAATATGTATGGCAGGGATCTTCACATACCACTCGATTGCGTAACAGCGTAACCAGTGTTAATGTGGACCTGCGACGATTTATGGCAGTGAGAGCCGACAGAGACACAAAGGCATGCGGAATGAGCAAAGGTGGGTGACTCATCATGTATGTTAACAACCGTTGGTGTAACCCTGGACATGTCTTCGTAAAGAAAGTGTTATGTTGTCCGGACTTGGAGCTATTAGCTATTAGCCGTTAGCTTCAGGCCATACTATCTGTCGAGGGAGTTTAGTCACGTGATCTGCCTCTTTGTTTACATCCCTCTGCGAGCTGTCGCAGCCAATGCCTGTGAGAAAATTCACACCGTCACAGCAGGGCACCGGACTGAACACCCTGAGGCTTTCATCCTGATTTATGGTGACTTTAATCACATCACTCTGGACCTGACTTTCATCAGGTGGTGGATTGCCCCACA